CTAGACAATTTTAAAGTTTGTTCTTTTTTATTATTGACTTCGATTAGCCTAATGGTGTGGTTTATTTTTTAAATTCCAAAAATCTCATATGAGAATGAGGTATATGTTCGGTTCTCTTTTTAATTTTTAGTAAGTTTTGCTGCTTGCTATCAAAATATACATGTCACCGATCCTCGTGTATAATCATCGACTTAAATCGTGTTGGTGAATAATGAAATTAAATAAGTTAAATACGAAAATGGATTTTTGAATACGTTTATTTAGTACAATCGTTGACCGGAAAGCGAAGCAAAACAAAAATGATGCACAGTGGAATGGAGAAGGCGAGTGAGTCCATTCGATTTAGTCAAGCGTGAATCGTTATTTATGGTCAGATAAAAGATAAGTCACAGACAAAATAAGAGTAAGGTAAGTAATTAGCGCACATACGATCAAATAAAAAGCAGTCAGGATTAATAAGCGGGTAAGTGAAAATGCAAAAATGTAGCTTAATAAGAATGAATAGACTGATTAGTCCAGAGGCCAGAATAATCTATGCGGGCTTGACATAGTACCCTCCCCTACTGGTTGGATTTATTTGCAATCTTGTTAATAACTAAACAGATATATGAAGACACCAGTTATTATATAACTGTTTAATTTCAAACTGCATATAAATCTGTAGTGAACTACTTTTATCAAGAGAGCGCGATTGGTCTAATGGAAACAATTATTATAACCAATTGTACCAGTGATTGTTTTACTGTACTTGTTTGTTCAACTGTACTAAAGACATTCTTTCTTCCGTTGATTGTGACCTTGCACGAATTCGGTTACACTCAGTAACCACACTTGTAACCTGGCACGATCTCGCTATTCATTCGATACCACGAGATCGCCAACAAATACATCTCGACTACAGCCATCAACTACCTTCTGATATTTGGTCTACGGGTTATCTTATCGGTTAACTTGCACGTAGTCTTCCTGTAGTGGTGATCAAAGTCAAACGTGACTCGACGCTACACTACAAATCTTTAATGAAACAATAAAATACCTTTTGCGCTTTCGATTTCTGTGATTATTGCTATATTGAATTCAATTAAGCCAGTTGGACAGTATCTTCCTGACTTTTTTGTGGAAATCTGTATGCATTGTTATTGACTCTAAGTAATAAAGGCTCAATTTTTAATAAGTCATTCCAAGACACAACAGTGTGAACCACATCTAATATAATAGATTCAAGAATTACGATAAACATGTTACCTTTAGCTCATTACTTACTTGGGATACCTTGGTTCACAGTTTTTGATCTAACCAATTGATATTCAGCTTCCAAGTATCACTCAATTGACAATTTTCCTACGACTATTGGTCACAGAACAGTAACCAATGTCATTTTTATCTATTTCTTATTATTAGTTGTAATGTAAACACCAATCTACGTGACTAGATATCGCGTGAAGTATATTTTGATCGATTGGTAGAGGGCAGTCAAAAAGAAACCATGGATCTATATTTCTTGCTACTTGGTTCATTTTACCAAAGTGTGCCTGGAATCTTATGAGAACGCATGCTTTATATTGTGTTCGAAACTACCCTTTGAAGTTACGACTGAGATATTCAGTTCATGATTTAAGACAGAATTAGAAAACTAGTAATGAATGAACGACAGTAACCGTAGTTGCGGTTCGATAATCAACCAGTTTAAGTAAATCTATTCAACCGAAGTTCAGTGGTAACGTTCTCGTAACACGATGCAATATGAATTAGAATCCCACTGGGACTATCACTCCAATCATTAGTGGAGATATAGCTTATTGAGAATGCCAACTAGCATGAAACCTTAGTCTAAAGTTTGCTGTTTCAGAATGCCTCTAACAACTTTATAACAACTTTTCTCATTTTATTTTAAACGGAAATTGAATGCTATGGAAAATGACACAATGTTAGATGTTGTTAATTTATTCATTGACTAAATACTTTAATTTTATTATAAAGAATTGACTAACTTAATAACTGACAATGAATATCGAAATTCAGTACACTTTCTATGCTGTCTATATCAGGTCAATTATCGATTTTCTGCAATTTAAAGACAGCAACGTTTGTATTATTATTATTATTATTATTATTATTATTATTATTATTATTATTATTATAGCCAGTTTACATGTATTCTTCACACTGATAGATTATAAACACAATAGTAATAGTAATGCCAGTAATATTAAGAAGAGAGTACGACCTATTAGAATATGAATGAATGAATAATTAGTACATTACCAGATTATCACAAACTTATACCATTACTTTCTCTATTTCCTTAATCCTCACAACTACACACACATATACACAAACACTATATCTTTATATAAAGTAAAATAATGTGCTCAGTTTGTTATGTTCTTTTCTAAGAACATGTATGTTGAAGGTCAAATTGAGGACAAGGTTAAAATACAGATTTTTCTCCATCATTTTCTAATGCTAATATTTATTCTTGTATTAATAAAAATGGAGAACTATATCAATGAATGTCTAATATTTTATGTATGTATAAAGAGTTAACTATCTTGCCCTTATTTTACTATAGACGACTATAACTCTAAGTAATAATTTTCAATAACATTAAGTTAATCTAACTAGAAGAAAGACATATTAATGACTATCAACAAGTAAGAGAGAAAAATTGATTATTTATCATAAAAATAACTCCAAAATACATATTCAATCATTGGAAGTCATTAATGTTTGCTTTCAGTGGAATAGTAATGGATAAAAGTAAATTATGAAACACTGATAGAGTAAATACAATTTCCCTAAATCCCAATTTTGATAATAATTATGTACTCACTGATGACTGGCTTCAAGATGGATTTCCTGGAGTTCTAGTAAGAAGCCATGACCAGTGGAGTTCAATCCGTGTAGGGTGGAGACAGTTATCCACTTCAGACAATGGACGGTTTGTGCAAGATCATAGATCGACTGAAGTTAGACATGGACACCGTTGGATCTAGAAGTTAGGCGTTCGCGCTCGAAACCGAAGATCCTTGGTTAGAGTTTCAGGTGCGGGATCGTGGATGCGCATTGCTGAGGAATCCCACACTAGGACGAAACGGCCATCCAGTGCTTCCAGTTATGTATTAGAATTTTGGATATTGTTCTGAGTTAGGGTTTTCCTCATTAGCTGACATCAACTACAATACAATAATGCTTTATAACCCTTTTGTTTAAACTTAAATAGTTAGTGTTAACCTTTAGGGTCAGGAGTGAAGTGCGAGATTACTGTCAAGCTATAGAAACACCCTGGTTCTTGCACCGAATCACATCAGTTACTTTGACACAGTCTGCATTAGTGGCAGGTACTTCTTATAATTTAGGTTGAGCACGATATCGTACTAACTGTTTGGTTACATAATATATATCTTCATCAATTTTTAGCCTTTTAGAATCTAAATATCGCCAATTTTCACTTAGATGTTAGTAACATACAAAGTATCTTGCACTGTGCTTTCAGTTTTACACCGAAATCCACAGACGCTATTTTAACTGATTAGTGCAGTTAAGGCGGTCAGTATAGCATACTTTTATCATTTCGACTTGTTGTTACAAATTCTGGAAGCCTAATACTAGTTCTGGAGATTAAATGGAATCTGATTTTCAGTAAAGATTGATATGGAATATATGTATATAAGATTTCAAAAAACCAACTTCCTAATTGATTAACAATAATACACATTTTTTAAGAATTTCAATCATAAACTCTACTTCTGCCTCCTTACTTGTTAGAAAATGTAAATGTTTCGGTCACTGAAAAAAGTTATATCTAACATATACAACATAATCAGGTCATACGGATGACGGAAATTTTTTTATTACAATGACTGGGGAGTACCGTAAAAAGACACATAAGTTATCCAACTCATATTCATTAGCTCAGTTTAGAGCCCTTCTAGGATTAACGGCGGTTCGAAGCCCTGGCAAAGGACGGTTGGGGTTAGCAAAGATTAGAAAAGAATCCCTGAAAACCACTCAGTACCTTGTAATTTTTTTCAAAGGGCATTGTTTAAACAGTAATGAAGTGTGGAAGTTGATTTCCTCAGAACAAGGATCAGTTCTATCACGGTTAAGGAGAAGCTATCTTGGTTATTAATAAGTGCTTCCTATATTGAGCTTAAGAGGATTGAATGATACAATTTACTTCACTGTTATGTTTCACTATGCCTAAAGACAACCTTGAATCAGTAGCTGCTATGAGAGTGAAACTCAACTCAACCTCTATAACAAATAATTGTATTTCTAGTCCCAGGGGAGGTTTGTCGAGAGATTAACGTTGAATTTTATTTCTGCTAGTGCTAACAAAAATCTATCAAGAATATTCACTATCACTACAGTTTTGGCGTGATAAAAACGGTATAAGTAGTAATGTGTCATGTATACATTGATGTAGTGGATAACTTAAGGCGAATAATTACTTTTGTCCTTCCCCTCAATGCTCGCTGAGCTAAGTGGAATCAAATTAAGTGAACATTAATACCAGACTTATCATTTGATCTATGCGGTGCGAAAAAGTACTTTTTTATTAATCTAAAGTGTCTCCTAGTTGAAATATTTCCCACCAGGGGCAAAGTCACGTCCAGACAGTGAAAAAAAGACATCATTAAGCCTATCTTTAGCGCCAGTAACTACTGTTTCGTGATATTTAAATGAGGAAACTATTTTACATGTTTGCTATATAATATCTTGTTTTTGATTGGCTAGCTAGTTAACCAGTCAGAGGTCAATAAGGGTTCGTTTTGTATTTTCATATCTCACCCACTCATTTTACAAAGACACGTCGTATAGCAAAACGATCAAGTGAGAAAATTTGAAGGACATGTTTAAGGGCATAGACTAAGATAGACAGACAACAAACAATAATCCAGACAATAGCCACGCGTGTTCTCTTAACCAGCCCACGTTTCGTTTTGGTGTGTGTGACCTTGTTATGTTCATACCTCACACCCCTCCCATGGCCCGTCTGTGATCCGTGTTTTTAATTGTAGACAGGTATCTGTCAGAAGCGTTTTTTTAAATAATAGGATTTGGGGACGTCTGGTCACTTTGCTTCGAAATGTTTTGCGAGGAAGCATTTGGGTTAATTCCATTTATACTTGTCAGTTCAAACTGTTGAACGTTGCTATATGATATTACATTATTTTTTGGACGTACGTTATGGCGTTCCCTCTTCCCAATAATCCATACTTCTCAACATCACCTCTGGCAGATGTGGCTGAATTCAGACAGAATCTAGTTTCACGAATTTTCGGAAGACCTCAGGACTATGATCTTTCACTCGCACCATCGCAATCACCTGAACTACTTCGTAGATCTGATCTTGTAAATCCCCAAAAAACTCTATGTACACCTAACAATTTATTAAATTCTCCAGGTTGGTTTCAGCATGCTCTTGCATCCAGTCTTCAAATGGGTCTTTTGTCTCTACCACGGTACATGCTCAAGGACATTTACTTACCACCTTTACCTTCCCAACCTCTTAATATGAGGTTGCCCCGAGCTACGAACATACATGCACCTTTTGAACCATCAGTACCCGAAGTAAAACCAAAGATCACTAGTAAATGTGCATCTCGACCAGAACATTCTCGTTCCTCTTCATTTAATGATTGTGAGAATTTCTTTGCTTGTCGTCAACCTACAGTTCGGCCTACATTAAAAAGACAATCAGAGAGACCAAAGACAAATTGGGGTTCAAATAGTACATCTAATCCTCTTGCGTCAGTTGAATCCCAAGATACTGGTACTTTAGTTCCCAGTCTGATTGACGGTGAAGTCATAATGGGATTTAATGTTTGGGGCGAAAAACGATTATGTTTACCACATTTATTTCGTTTTGTGCTACACGATGTGGATTTGCAGATCATAGATAAGGCATGTACAAAGCTTCAAATAGCATGCACAACGTGTACTCCAGCTCAATTAAGTCTGTTACATTCACGCCAAATACTTCCTCGTACTGTCGGTAGTTGTGGTCTAATTCGTAAAAGTGATGCAGAAAGGTTGACCAAGTATATTCGTCATCAAAATATGTGTCTGGAGGGATCTAATTGTGAAGAGAGTTCAACATGTAAATCTCCAATTAATCCCTGTATTGGTGAAGATTCTGAAATGAAAACTACTACTGGTATGGGCTTTATTAAGGACCATCGACAACTGAGCCCTGTTTCAACTGACACTTCTAAATCAACTAAATCAGTAGATAATGCACAGTCAGCAGACCGCTTAGATTCTGGTCATGATGAAAACCAGCCCGAGAATAATTGTAAAAATGCTGTGGAATCTAGTGTTATTCCAGTAATACATGAATGTTTTGGACGACAGTTGGGATTAATATATCCGAATATGTATAAGGAACCTTATTCAAAATGTATCAAGTGTGTCACATGTTGTCGATATTTTTCTCCTGAGCAGTTTGTTGGACATACACATACCGTCACTGAGGTTGATAATTTAAACCATTGGGGTTTTGATTCTACCAACTGGCGGTGTTATCTTCGTTTGTACACGGGTCGTCGGTTAAATGTGAATGCTAATTCTATTCTTTCCAATATTAATACTGTGCGTGGTCATGAAGTTGTTGGGAAATCTAATACCAAAGAACCTGTGGTTGCTGTAGACGCTCATCGTCGCCTGGAAGAATTCAAAATTAAGTTTGCACAGGTCAGTTTATTTTTCTGTTCATTTGCCACATCACTGTCTAATTAGTATATCATATTAAACGTCCAATCACGTAAAACATTCTCGATCATTTTTGCATGAATATCTTCTCTAAGTATCCCTTGTTCATTATACCCTCATTTTCTGCATACGAAAATTTTCTTTTCAGCTTACATTGAAAACAAATTCCTTTGTTTTCTGCAATTTCATTTTCTAGGCATTAAGGTTTTCCTTTAATGTATGCCGCCTTTAAAATATTATAAATGGTTATGGCGATTTAGAACGGTATTTTGCTATTATTTTCAAGTTGATTCCTAATTAATGTTTATTTTATCTCTGTATTTCACCCCCCTGTTTCCCTATCCATTACTTCGGATTGATTCACAACTTAGTTTCGCCCATCACATTTCCCACTATTTACTACGGTCTGTGTTACTTTCATATATTTAGTTGAACATTATTTATCATTGCATTGATCCGTTTTTCCATAAATTAATGAAATCAACCTGAATATTTGTGACAATGTTGATTTAAGTCTCTCAATAACAGTCGTTGAATCACTTGTATTATTCTTACTGGGTACCTTATTCGGATATGATTCCAATCAATTTAGAATAAGTTAATTAAAATAATCCATAATGTCATTGAATAAGAAAAAGTGAATTCAACAAAGGGTATTTTCTTTTCGACGAAATTATTTTCTTAAGCTGTACATTCGTATATATAGTTGTATGGGAAGTTATTACGTAATTTCATTTGATATTTAGTCTCGAATCAATTTATGATGCAATCTTTTCTATCCTCCTATAGAAATATATTTACCACAAATTTAATGGTCAAAACCGAACACTACGAATGTACAGCTTAAGTAAATGATTTCGTTTTAAAAAAATTTTCCCCGCTGAATTCTCTTTTTCTTAGAATAAGTTCTGTTTTGACCATTAATTTCGTGCAGCATTTTCGATCCTCGAAATTATTAGTTTTCATTGTCACAAAACGTTATATCAAGTGGTTGTTCTTGATGGCAATCAGACGAGTTTCAAAGTGTTCAGTTGTCATTTTCACTTTATTTTGTCTTTAAAGTCTCTTCACAATGTACATACATTAAAAGAAAACACTTATCTAACGAAGGAGGATATATATCCCCCTCCCAGCAAGTACATTATTTTGTGAGACTACATAAATTACTCAACATTTATGATGCATTAGCTATATATTTCAGATGAAGCATATATTTCAAAAATTATTTCATAAACGACAAGGACGTCAACTTCAGTTGTCATTTTTTTTACATCAGTTCGAACCACATCTTTCGCTCGAATAATTCACAGTCTTGTTATTATTATCCTTGACTTAATAATACCATCTAGTTAGAGAACTGACAAAATTGTTTAAGTTTTCAAATTTTATTTTGTATTTTTGTTCTTATATAACTAGTAGGTCATTATTTATTCTTTCTCGAGTATTGTTAGACTTCAACTTCTTAATTCGTTTATTATTTGAATAAATTTTCAGTGATTGGGTTACGAGCTGAATTAGTAATATCGTGAATTGATTGAAGTCAGACATAAGTATCGTTAAATGCCGACTCAGTAGTCTAGGGATTGTGTTTGCACGCGAGGCCCTGGGTTCGATTCCTGCATGCGGGAAAAAAATGTACACCTTTGAGGATTCTCATGCTAGGGCGAAATGACTATCCAGTTCTTTCAGGTTTTCAGTGGTGATCTAACTTAGACCAATTCATGATTTCACTGAAATTGTAATTTTATTCGATTCAATCTTGGTTAGTACCATGTTAACATCTCGTTTTTTGCTGTTAACCAGCATAGAAACATGACACAATGTACTTTAAATTAATTTTACAATATCCATTGTGTTGTTATCACGTCATATTACGTGTAATGTATATCTCTGATTATTATCATAGGAACTACTAAAAAAACTGAGTACATTCTCTCTTCCAGGATGACTAATATTTCCTGATAAATAGTTTAAAGTTTAAGATTACCGATATCTTTTTAAGGTTTCAATATTTGCTTATATGTAACAGATGTTAAATATAGGGAAATATCTTTCTCATTGATTGTAGCAATATGGAGTAATTTTGAGATAATTAAATTAAATAAATAAAATATACACTTCATGAACTCATAATTGACCATTCGTTTTGAAGTGTGGTAAACTTTTATAAAATGCTAATTTGTAACTTTTGTCATCATTATTAGCGATTTTCAAGTGTTTTCAGTTATAAAATTCTGCTAACTTGTCCGGATTATTTGGATATCATCTACAAGCGCTTTTTTGTTGTTGATTAGTAAGCTAATATGAGTAAATGCTCGGATAGACTCTATAAAATATTCGGTTTATAAAATTCCCAAACAATTGTGAGTGTATGGCTTTTCGAATGTTTTAACATGTTTAATTATTAGTTTGGAATGTTTTTTTTGGTTATTTTTAAAAATACCATTTTGATATGCGAATATTTTAGGCTAGTGAAAAAATCTAACTATGTACACGAATCCACACTAATATAACGATCCACTTTGTTTTTCTGTTATTTATGCAACAGCCTATTAAGCTACCCCCATCCTTAGGTGCAGCTTTACGAAGTGTGGGATTATGTGCATCTGTGGCTCCATTTCCTGCTGGTACAACTAACTCACAGCATTCTCAAACTTCTGAAGCTTCCATATGTGAACAAATTTCAGCCCTGATACGAAAAACTAGCCAGTCGAAAACTCATCAGTTCCTCCCTCTACGGCCAAATAAAGCACTTGATCAGACAATAATCAGTACTTCAGCTAATTCAGCCCCAAATCAATCCTCCCCTTCCAATATGATGCTGCCCCAGCTAACACTACGTCGTCTATGGGCACCAAACGATGGTCGAATTAAACTTCCACCTCCACCTAGGTTACTGACAAGCTGGTAAGTTCATAAATCCATCATATAGGGATACACATTGAATAATTATTTTCCTATTCTCTATTTATAATCGATTCACATGGAAGGCAGATGTTCTAAATTTTTATTTTTCTAAGAGAATCATATAATTCATGTCATTTTTCTATGTTCAGAGATAACTTGTCTGATGATATATGTATATGGGTTTTATATTTCTGTAGATGTGAATTCAGACTCTATATCTTCTTTGTTAGTTTAGATGCTTCTAACTTTGACCTTATTTTTAGGATTGTCTTTGTTAGATGTCACTTTATTTACACCACTGTTACCCTTGCATCAACAAATGAGGACAAGTCCTATCATTTGTTCAACTTCGTTTTAAACTAATTGTTTGTTAGCTGATTTGTATTCCCATTGTCTAGCTGTATGAATGTACTTTTCAATAATTTCCAACGCTTGGTAGTATGGCCTTGTAATTTTCTCTCTCTCTCTCTCTCTCTCTCTCTCTATATATATATATATATATATATATATATATATATATATATATAGACCATTTTCCTTCCTGTTTTGCTTTTGCAATAAACTGCCAATATATGATTATGTTGGATGAGAGTTTTTAGAGACGTGGTCTACCAAATGTCGACTTGAAAATGTTAAATGTAATAACTTACATGACACTTACTAGAAGTAGTTTGAATAACATTCTCTGAACGACACTTAAGTTTAAGTTAAATCTGTTCCTTTTAACTTTCTGTTTAAAATAAACATCTTTATGCATCAAATTAGTTTATTTCATGTGTTTATTTAGTGAGCCAAAATATTGAGAAATATAAATGTATGTAATACTGATGTAAATTCATCACAAACCCAGTTATACAATGAAGGAATATTAATATGACAGAAAATGTCTTAACTACGAAGATATCAAGTTCTAAAAATACACTATCCCATCAAAACAACATCAATTGTTGTTTTGATTGCATCGTTTAAATTTTATAAACGAACAGAATTAATAGAGAAATTCTGTGTCGAACTTTTATGAGTCCTAATTTATTAATCGGTAATCAATTTTACTAATAACCTCAGGAAAACAGCTACTTAAAACCATAATTTCAGTTTCTTCCTCTCCTTGTTAGGCACAAATCCTTAAAAAAAGTATCCCTTTGTTGGAGACTTAGTAACATGATATGGAAAGTACTTATGTTGTATTTTGTCCCCCAGTTATTAGTTCTTTAATGATCTGAAAATAAGTCGGCCTATCGCTTTCCATATTTTAAGTGAATTCATTATATTAACGAAACAAAACTTTTATTTTATAGATTTATATATGTCATCTAACTTCAGGAACCGATACAATAAAATCTTTGCATATTAATGTCTAATTTTTTAGTTATGGCATCATTTAAGGAAACTATACTAGTTATGAGGTTAAAGGCAAGTGTTCACGTGATTTACAATTCAAGATAGGAAATATAATATGATCAAATTGTCACTCGATGTTTGTAATCGATTTTAAACATAATGGTCTGACACATACTGTGGTGTGTGTTACTGATGTCGACATATAAGTAGTATGTATCATTAATAGAAAGTGAATTGCCTGGTGGCAGAAGGTTAAGAAGGAGAACAGAGAATGATTACTGTGGAAGTAAGGGAACAATGAAGTCTGAGACGATTGACATTTTGCAAATGAAGTATTTACTATATGGTTCTCAGATTTTACTAAGACGTTCTGTAATTTTTGTGTTCAAATACATTCGATTGTCCCTACTTGTGTTCTTGTTCACTACAATACTACTAGCCAAAATGAGTAGTTGACCACTTAGACTAAATAGAGGGTCCATACAAATGGAGGTAGTTTAAGTAAATAACAGTTGTTTCATTTCTTTTGAAGTTGAGCCTATGAGTTGTGCCTCTGCACAAATTTTCCTGACATAATTAGACTTATCAGATTAATTAGATTATAAGTAGTTACATGAACAAACAATTAATAAGTAGGCAAATCCATTATAGCTTACTGATATGCGTTATGTTTAATTTAAGCTGAAACATGGAGAAATATTCGGTTTGAATTATTTCTAAGAAGGGAAAATTAATTAAATATGGTTTTCTACCCCAAAGTTTATAACTACTTCCTATTGCCTAATCACAAATTTGTCATACAAAGCAATGGTTACTATTTTCATTAGAATGTTTCGATTTGATGTTACGTGATAAATAAATCAAATTACTGTTCTGTTTGTTACGAAATATGGTTTCTACCTGCCGAGTATAAGTTAGAATGAGTGTATAATTACCAACTCATCTAGTTCGATTTTAAAAATATAAGTTTGTTCACTCTAGATTGAATACACATTAGCAGATCTCGGTTAGGTTCTTGTTTTCGGATGAATTATAGTTGAAAATAAAACTTAAAAATGGTTATCCTCTGGTACTGTCACTAAATGGTATGAATTGATTGCCGATATTATTCACTAATCACTTGAAAATGTATTAAATAAATAAAAAAACATTCAGCTTTTAAACAAGAAAATATTGGTTTCTGTACAGTGAACATGATACTCATTATCAAATCCACTGTTTTAATACCAATGTAATTACCGAACTATTATTTTAATGTTGTATCGATTAACACGATAGTTTCGAAAGAAATATAACTTGTTTCCGCCAAGTTGTGCTATACACTTAGTTTTATTGCTGACAATTTTTACTTTAATGATCTGGCCATTTAGTAGGCATTAATTAAATTAAGTGTCCAGACTAAATTATTTCTTCTTTTAACCCATATAGTATTGTATTTGTTGCTGACTGTATTTGAAACTGTGAAATTTCTACTTTTTAGGTAGAATCATGTTAACTGGGTGCATTAAATATGATATAGTACAGAGGACAATTTCATTTAAATTCATTTTTGAAATAATCTTAGCATTAGTATTATAAGTAGTGGATATTTCTTAAATTTCACTCATTGACCTTAGCACTACATTTGAATTACTATGACGTTACATATACTGAGATAGTTTCAAGATTTTGATTTTGTTTACATTTCCAATAGCCTGGTAGTAGTTGAATTGCATAGTTATTTACTTTGTAACTGAGACGTATACTGACTTTTTTACTACCACAAACTATGTTGCGTTTCAAAACATTTAGAGATTGTGTCTGAATCCGTGGTTTACTGATGTATAAAGCTTAGACAGACAACTAGTAATTATTTAGTTTTTTCGCTTACATAAATCATTGTTTTATACGAATGTTTTTAAAATATATTCAATAGTTCCTCTATTGTTAGTGAAAAGTCGTACTTATTTATTCTTGTCAGTGTTTCACTAGACAAGAGCCAACTATAAACCAGAAAGTGTGAAGCTTTGATCACAGTAGTTCAATGATTAAGGGGTTCGAATTTTCATCACTAAGTTCCAGGTCTGAGCCTAGCTCCACCCACTTCAGTTTAGGCAACCAGGTAGTATCGTTAGCCCTCACACGTCGATTGTGGCTCATATATAAGTACCTGGAGAATGAATTAAATCCAAATACTTAAATTTACATAAACTGAACAAATATTGAATCCAGAGTGTAGTGCGAAGCCATTTCGTTTTAGTGCGAAACTCTTAAGCAGTTTACTCCCATGAAGTCGTTAAAAGTCAAACCCACAAATTTCAGGTTATTTGTTTCAGATCACTGAATTACCATTTAATAGCTGAAATTTTCAGCTTGTTATCTCCAAGTTATAGATTTAGTAAGAAAGTAGATGATAAAAGCTTAAATTAACTGAAAATGAATCAACATGTACAATATTCTTAGAATTACTTTATTCCTCGTGTAATGGTTTAGCTCCTGGGATTTATAGTATCTTGAGTTATTGATCACTATTCGATGCTGTACGCATTTTCTTTACAAAACACCTTGATGCTGTATTAAACATGCTAATAATTTATTTGGGTTATTTATATTGATATGCTTATTGATTCACAGGGTCCTTTGGTTTTCACTGAAGTTATTCATTAATTATCCCCCCTTTATAGAATTGATCATTTAAGTGAAGGGAAATGTTGTGTTATTTATTATTCAAATTAATGTTTTTACATTTCCTTTACTATCTGAATAAATGATTGTTTACTTCTTTTCTAGTGAGATAAAATCTCTTCCAGAAAAGTTTCGTACTGGACCTCCATTATTATTACATTCTCATCGAGTTGTCACTCAGGATGCTGCACATCATTATGATCGTGATTTTATACCAAATGTTTGTCTGAAACCGTTCAATGGGACTGATAGTAAAAACATTGCTAGATCATCATCAAGTCGGAGACGTCGGCATAGGCGTTCACTACGCAAGCAAAGTGAAGGAGATTCTATTCAGGACTCCAGATCCCGTTCTTGCAGTGAATATAGCTCAGGTTCAAGAAGTAGTCGTACTCGAAGTTCTAGTGCTAGCAGTACTAGTAGCAGTCGGTGTAGTTGCAATAAAATTACTGGAAATTTAGATATTCCAGATTTTCGGTGGAATCAAAATAAGCCATCTTGCAATTGTAACCATAATTCTACGTCTCCTAAACACAATGCTCACAGAACTACTGATGGGCTAAAATCATGTGATTCTATGTGCGTCAAGAAGAATCCTTCCAATTCATGTTCACCTAGATTATCTAGGGCACGTTCACTCAGCGGAAGTGTCAACAAATTTAAAAGACTCCGAAGGACATCTTCTTGTCCAGTGTTTTACTCCATCCGACAAACAAGCACGCTAAATAACATTGAGTGTTCCGATGATAAGCATAATAGAAAAAAGTTGACGAACTCAACATCAACTTTTAAAGCATATCAAAAGAAATCCGCCCCACCTCATATGGATAAGAGTGGAATTAAACAACGTTGTAAAGCAATGGCTGCCGCACGTGCTGCACAAGGCGCAGCTAGTCGAACTGGCCCAGGTTTATGGGCACGACATTTTAGTAAGTGTATTATTCCATTTTTACTTGATGCTAGCTGTTCACTGATTGATGATGACTTCTTGAGATCGATTATAATATATGATTTTGTACGTTTTCGAACCACAAGCTACCTATTTTAAGAACTAAATAAGGGTTTATGTGATATATATTTGTTTAGTTAAATGTAATTATATGTAGATGCTTGAAGAAAGCTAGAATTTGTATTACTTTTTTACGGTATTGCTATTGTTAAACTGGACCAGTTGTCCACTAGGTTGGGTTTAAATTCCAGTTAACTTAATTGGACAAAATGTAATATTCTATGGATTTTAAAGTTATTGTTCTTGGAACTAGTGTTCGACTTCATTAACATTATATTGCAAACCATTAACTGCTATTAATATTGCTCTCTAACAATTAAATCTGAATATAACACGGTCATAATTATTGATCAGTCTTCTATCTAAAGGACACAACTCATAAACCATTGTTGTCTCACTGGTTTAAAGTTTTATTTTATTTTCGGCATTCTCTGGCAAGTGTTAATTCATCACTAAAATATTTTGGTCTGTAAAGCTGAATAGTAAAGTTAATTGTTATAGAATAGTTTTAGCTCATAGGCACTTTGATGAACTGATTAAATACTCATATGGATTACTCTAACAGTGTTATGAATTCGAAAATTGATTTAAACCGTGGAAATAAAGTCACTACAGTCAATAGTGTATACGTTGGTTTTTACTGTACAGTAAAGTTGTAGATACCAATCTTTTTCAAAAACACACTTTAAGTAAATGTTAAATCAATACTTTATGTTTTTTTTATTAAAAAAAATACTACTTTGTCGTACTTGAGAATATGAATATTGATTTTATTTAAGCACATGACAATCATCGATAAATAAAATGCTTAAAATAGTCTGCAGTAACTGTGACAACTAGATAGAGACAAACTGGTCTATCTCGTCTGTCTCCCTGTTTATTTCTCAGCCAGAGAGAAGAAATTATGTTTCTAAAGGATAGTTGTTAGTAATGATGAATTTTAAACTTAATGATTCTTATTGTGTCTTGATTTGTTTCCTGTTATTGTCTTGTGTTCCAATATGTAGTTGTAGTATATTAGTTAAAACGCTTATATTTAACTCTAGATCGTGGGTTCAAATCCCACTAATTATAATTAAATGAAAGATATTTGAAAAGATGCTAAATAAAAAAATCGGATATTCACGACTTATGTACAAATGAACTATTGTTTCGTCCCTATGGTGGTACATTTTCTGGCTTTCTCAGACAAAGTCTCTGGCTACGGCTTTCCAGTATTTTATTGCAAATGTACAGTTCTGCAATGAATTGAAGCTAAAGTTATAAATTGATTTGATCTATTTAAGGGTTCCTGTTAATTCTCGTCCCAATCAACATCGTTATTGAAATAAATTCTGACTAGACACAAGTAACATACATCACACCCATCCTAATTCACATAAGTTTATCGACTTGGAATCATTTTGTTCAGGATAAATGTGCGCAATGACTCAGTAATATCGTTTATTCATTACCTGTAAGCTCCTCATCTTAATCATTGCTTTTCTGATTTGGTTCGTGATGGCGAAAGTGATGTTGTGGAAGTTATGCTAATACTATTAAAACATAATTACTTTCATGAGATGCTCTTAGAGATTCCCAATAAATTGATATTTCACTAACCTCTTATAATCAGTTCATTGAAATTGCTTAATTATATGCGAAGTTGGCCATAAAAGTAACTTGGGAAAAATAACCAGTACATTTCTTACTTACTGACAACCAAATAAAGTTGAGTAATTGCTGATATGTGTTCGGTAATCTATCACTTCATCAATGATGAGTATTCTAGGGAGATGTGTTCAGTAAACCATACTGCACTAGTCATTTTTCCTGGGTGACTATTAAAACTTCTTAGAAAAGGTCTTATACAACACTAAACCATCATTTTTAAATTGGTTATCTTGATAGCAAAGAATTGTAGAATTTTGTTTTTATAAATACTCTTTGATATCATATTTTTCAAAAAATCTCTAGATTTCTGTTTGTCGGTTAGTGTCATTTTGTATTATAATAAACGAGGATAACTAAATTTTGAAATATTCATAACGTTTCACATTTTAACTGTTATTTTTTGTTATAGTTAATGTACAGAATTCTAATGGAGATTCTATGAAATTACCAAATGCTAGACGATCTGTCTCTCATACAGTCGATACCCATAATCCTTATTCAAATCCAGTGAATAATACTCCAGTATTAGTGACAAATCCAATGAAAAATAGTCTACCTGCTGCGGTTTTAGCTTTAGAAGCGATTTGGGCAGATTTAGTTCGACTTATCAATGAATATACAATTGCAGTTGAATCAAGGTCTGGTGTAGACGCAGCACGTCAAAGGCTGTTTGAGCAATTCATATCTATGCAAACTTGTTATGCTACACATATAGCATCATTGATGGATGAAAATCAAAAACTCCATGAGGTAATATTTTGATATTGCTTACTACTGTTTTCTTTTAATCATTACTCTATATCTGCTCATTAGTAACAATGCGTGTATTCAACCCATTTTACTTTATATCGTATTGAAAAAATAAACAATGTATTCCTGTCAGTAATATCGTGGGAAAGACAAATTTATTGTTTAATACAAAATTACAGTGTGCTCGTAGGATATGAAAATCATACATTAAATACGTCATTTGCACATCTTCCATCAGTTGTCTTTTACAAACTTCGTTCCTTCATTCCTGTTGTTATTTTGACTTCTTTTAGTTTTCTGCTCTCCTCTTCATTTCAATGCTCTCAATCTTCTGCTCGCAGGCATTCAACTTCTGATTGGTGCTATATACTACTTATATCTGTCGACATAAGCAGCATACACCACAATATTAATTTCATCCCTTGTCGGAAATCTGTTATTTTTCGTCCTCATCAGTGTAACAATTCATATATTAACAAACAGACAGTGTTTGTCTTAGTCACCTATGTTGATGAATTATTATAATTTCATCAACTGCATTGTTGTCTCTTTAGTATTTTATATCTCTTCTCAACACCTGTATTATTCAATGCTTTCGCTATATGCTAACAATACAAAAGCACTCTCGATATTAAAATACTGGAGCTTTACAGCTCAGGTGGATACTTTATTGGTGTTGTGTTCTCGGAGTTATAATTAATATGACATTCAGATAAAAAAATAGTTTGATTACTCTTTTGCTTTGATCTGGTCTTTGATTTTGCAGCCGATTATTATTTTTCTCATTGGTTAGTAGATTGAATTCGGTTGATTGTTATATCTCATTGAGTACATTGCACTGGAAGAATTCATCCTAGTAAAAAATATCAGGCTAAAATATTAGCATAAACTCATTTTTCTACAAGATTACTGTGGGATGTCGCTGGTTTAGAATGATCTAAAATCACATAAATGAAGAACTACAACACAATGCCATTCAGTGATCTATATATATTGTTACTGTGGTTACAAAGTATGTTATATTGTTAGATTCATATGATCATCATGTGAAAGCATACTCTTACTGCGTAAAATTCACATTCAATGCGTTATCATGGGGAAAACTTCTAACCTGTAAAAGTTATGATTTTCCAAGAAAAAGTAGATCTGTTTATATTTTGATCTAAATAAATTTGCTTTTTGGCATTTATAATAAGTGACTGCCTTTAAAAAAATTATTAAAAACACTAGTTTAATTTATTATTATAAACGATTGTTGTATCTGAAATCCAGTCCATTAAGACCTGACTAGAAGAAAATTTTCTCTGACCATTATTCAATCTAGACAAGCTTAAAGTAATCAGTCTATCTTGTTGTATGTGTTTAAAATTTCTAACACATGTTATAATTGTACACATAGACACGAAAAATAATGCATTTGTAAACATGTATTCTTATTTCTTTTTTTTGTTGACATTAGAAGCGAGTTAAGTTGTTAGTTCGTTGCAAATTGCTTGTCTTTGTTACTCTGTACCTAATTGATATCTTATCCATGAAAAAGGACACTACCCAAGGGTTTTTCTAATTGTTATATATTCACATTCATTTAGTAATTATATGTTTATTGGTTCATGCTGTATGGATGTAGCTTAGTTGGTTGTTTTATATAATGGGCGGTGGTGCTTTAGGTGGCAGTTTTTTCCCTACTTACAGCTGTTGTTTGTGGTTGTCTTTTATTCTAGATTTTAGAGATTGATATCTGCAATAACAATAATAAAAACTGTGACATCCTCTTTTTCCTTCCTGTCTTATGTTTTTGTCTTTTCTGTCCATCAATTAGAACTGCATCCATTTCATACATTCTCATTTTATATCTAGGCTTTTGCTGAATGACATTTTTTTTATAGATTCACACTTATTGGTGAATATATATTCAAGCCAACCACTTTTTCGTTCGAAACTACATTTGAACGATAACAAGGGTGTATATTTTCCTTATTTCTTTCCCAGCTTTGTATAAGTTTCTTTCTTTTAGACTAGCATTGTTCATGTTAAAATACATTGAACGATCGGTTTCTTTGACTTGCATGTTAGAACATCGATCAGTAACTATGGGCTTGATAACTCTTATCTTGTCAATACCCAAGTTTCCCGTTGTCAGTCGTTATTCTAGACATGCTAACCAAGGGTATTACAAGCTTGGTTTAACTGAGATATTTGGTGACTAGTTAATATAATGAGGAAGAAGTTGTTTCGTATTTCATTTCCAAGACAAAGAAACTGGATATTCGTGGACTGAGGTGAAATAGTTTTATTAGTACAGTGATTACTAGTTTTCTTATTATCTAGTTCAACCGAATAAGATAGCAGAACGCATGTCAAATGTAGACTGACCTAATAGCGGTTTAAAATTTTTTATATCCAATGATTTAATTATTTGTAGTTTTACCCCACAGACTCACCTTAGTTTCACAATTAATGCAAACCAGAAAGCATTTGACAACTGTTCTCTTCTTGTAATAAGACTCAGCAGTCAGTTATCGTTATCGTAAGACCATTATCCATTCATTGATTGGTATTTATCTCATAGTCAATATAATTGGACTTCACTGGTTGTATTATAATTTCAGTGTTTTACGATGATAAAAAAAATATGAATATTAGATTATAAACTAAAATAGGAAAAAAAGATAGGGAATGAGAAGAATTTTCCCCTATTGTTTACAATAGGTGATTTATTCTTCCTTTTTTTTAAAATATCTATAGTTTTAAAAAATAAACTTTTGAAGTGTTGTTTCAGTTGGTAACATCAATTGCCTTTGAATAATCGCTGTACTAAACGATCTAATGGACTATTTCTTTTCAATTTAATTTACTTAAACATCATATGATTCAGAAGTTGATATATTAAACAGAAAAAGTATTACGAAGTATTTCATGTGAGCGGATTATAATCATAAAACATAAATAATCTTTTTCTCTATCTCTCTCTACAATATTTTGTTATTTAACCTTTAAAATACATTAGAATGCGCCCAACCGAATATTTTTGTCCAGATAAACATAAATAACTCAGTAAATTACCATATATTTATTATGGCTTTAAGTTCTATTTGTATAGTTCAATTCAAAAGGCTTAATATAAATGATACACATAGATTTTAACAATAAAAGAAAGTCTTTTTAACATGCTTGGTTGATTAACACTTGAAATGAAATATCATTGTTTTCTTATATTCACTTTGTTATATTATACTTTGTTACTTGTCAATGATTTGTTGTTATAAAGTGTTTCTTGATATAAGATCATATTTTCCAGGGTAATGTTTTAAATAATTGACAGGTTAATATTACTTGTCAATATGTGAAAGGCTTCTATGCAACTTCAAAACGATCTGTACATGGAACTTATTCTTAATTCAATTAAATCAAACAGTTATAATGGTTAATTATAATACATACAGTCTTGTTGTATAAATTTATATTTAAAGAATTTATTAGGTTGTATTTTAATCTTGTTAAACTCTTTGAAGCAAATGTAATTGTATTATAAATTTGTAAACATTGTATAAAAAGTAAAGAAAAACGATTCAAACTCATTGTCAAATGGAATCCAAACTGATCATAATGTTGCGTATGATTGTATTATGTTCTCCATCAAATTGTTTAAGTCCTATTACACATTTTTCAATGTTTCCTTCCCTGGAATTTGTTGCTTTTCCAACTGGTATCAATATTCTCTTTGGTCAGTGTTTATTCTCTATGCTTTCAGTAGTTCAAGCTTTCTAAACTGATTAATTACTGGGTAGAATTCTAATTTACACAAATTGATTGGTTGTTGATTCATTATTTTCTGTTGGTTGACTCTTTCTTTTTAATGAATATTTTACAAATTGCTTCGATAACAAAACATTCTTATTTGATCCTTGGAATGTTTAAAGTCTGTTATAATAATAAGAATTTTATTCTGAACAAATACAATTTGAAAGATTTATAAAGTACACAAAAAGTCAAAAATGTTTGCCGTCCGATGTCAACGATCTATGTATTGTATTGAGAGAAATAATAAGTACTGTAAACTTATGATTAATGTACATGAGAAATTAGTTTGTGATTAAGTTAACAAGAAATGACGATAAACTCAATTTTAGCGTATAATTATTTTGTTTCCTGTTTCTTTTATATTGCAGAAGCTTACACAAACTCAAACTCAACTACTACATTGTCAGCCTCAATTACAAGGCTTTGTTACAAATAATAATAATAATACATCAATGCCACTTATGTCGAATAACGCACCACTTGCATCATCTCAACCACCACTTCTATCTACGATAACAACTTCATCCACATCCACAACCTCTGCTGGAAATCAGAACCAATTTCACCCTTTTGATACAGAATTAGATAATAAGTCTGGGTCCAACAACAGATCAGATGATATGTTGATTCACTCTGTTATCCAAAATAATAATAATGTCAATAATTATGACGGTAACAACAATAACTTGTCTCGTTTATCACGAAACGATTTTTCACCGTTGATTATTGATCCAACGCGAATTATCTCTGTGAGTTTCAATTTTATTTCTTATTCAATGTTTCGGTGGATTTGTATTTACTTAGCAGTTTCTGCTGACAAATGATTGACAGGCTTTTTTAAAGTTGACAGGACAACTACTTATTACTCGGTATGTATTTGAATGCATCGGAAATCATAATATACTGGTCCACTGAAGTATAAGAGAATCTATTGATAATGTCCCCATCACAAAGGCAGCGCACTTTTATTTTGATTACACTAGAGAGCAAATTTAGACGGGTAACTTGAAGTCAGAAATTATGCGGAAAGTTTTTCAGTACTTTCTACTGTCAACAAATTCTTCAACTGGCTTTTACTAAGTAAAATATCGGATCATATAAAACAGAAATTTAGTAAGAAACTCATTATCGGACTACATATACATACTTGAACGTGTTTCATACTGTTCGGTTTGACATTTAGGTAGACCTAGAAATTTACCATCCTTGTTTTGACTAGAAGTTTGTATATCCGTGTTCATTGTAGGCATTTTATGCCTGTTGTGTTGTGTGCATGCCTGTTTATTATTGGTGTAAAGATATACACACTTAAAAGATTAAGTAGTAAATACTCTATAAACATAAAAATGTACAAACATGAGTTAATTTTTTATGCCATGAATGCTTTATTTCTGTCCATAATTTGTTTCAGTTGTACATACTCACCGATAGATAGATAATCTTTTACTAAATTTACCTGTCTTAATTGATGATTGAAATATGGGCGCTGTTAATGCTGTATTTGTACTAATGACTTCGATAAGGCTGAACTATACCACCAAGCCAAAGGCGAACATGCAAATCACTAAAAAGTTACGGCGCATTTATCAAACAGCAAGTCGCTAACTAATAATGAAATAAGTGGTATCACCGTGAGGTTGTTGCTCGTTCACTACATTATAAATAGTTTCACTCGGAAATTATTTTAATTTGCTTTAAATAAAGCTGATTTTTAAGTCTATAAGTTAGATTTAAAGATCAGATTTAGGTGTTCAGGATTCGGGCTTATGATGCAAGTTAAGATTAAGGTTTAAAACTTGGTAACTTGACATTACCGTTAGGATTAGTGTTTTGACTCAGGTTTAGAGTTGGAATTATGCTTTACTGTTAGATATTACATGTAAAGTTATACTTAATCATTCTCTAATCTTAAATACTAAACTCTCCATCTTAATTGCAAGCCCTAATTTTAAAACGAATTTTTAACCTAAACCTTAAACTCCATTCTAACCTTAAAGCCTAAATTGTAGTCATGACGACCCAATAATTTCTAGCTAAGTTAGGATGTCCCTAAATTTCACGTTCTGATTCTAATTCATGTATTCTGTATCCCTAATCCTATGTCTGATCCCAGCAAAATGAGTCTTCTTTTATTTCTGGCATCCTGAATTACTAAAATAGGTTAGGATTCAAGGTCATTCAACGGTATAGTTCAGCTTCATGATTTGTAGATTCTCTTCTTAGGTTCGTACTAGCTGAGCTGCACAATTTAATGTTATGTCCTGAGATATCTGACCCAATTTCTTTGTTATCAATTTTTCTTTGATCTTTTTCCATTCTTATGTCGCTTCATTCCTTAACATGGGATCATTGTGAAGTGATTATGAGATGGTCATACTTGGCATTACGCTGTAGTACCATGAAAATGTGGATTGAATGAATGACATCAAGCCATAAAATTCATGTTGAAATAACTTTGTAAATTAACCTAGAATAATTAAAGTTGACATTACTATCACAATATGTTTTCAGTGTTTCATGGCTTTATTTAATCTTTTCACGTGTATCACAACTTCATAAACTTTACATTTTTATATACTTCAAAAATTTTAGTTTCGTAATATACATTTTCTATAAATTTAATCCAAACAGATTTGGTAGGGTATAACTTTAACTGCTGAAATATTTATCGCCGGATATGTAAGCTAAAGGTCACTTGTTGGAGATCACGTGAAACTGTCTTTAGTTATTTGTTACTGAAACAAAATATTAAACTGGTTCACTAAAGTGGTCCAATATAGAGGCCATGCGCCTTAATGACATTCATTTGCATCAATTATAAGTCATGTGACTGAATATTACTGTGAAATTTTGTTATTACCGATATGGGTGTGTCTACAATAGTTTTAGTAATGTAGTATCTCGATTAGATCTCTCGGTAAATTTATGTTTCTTACAGAAGTATACGTCGTAGCAGTTAAGAGTAGTAAACATAGATAAAAATTATATTCTCGATTATTAATTTAGGCAAAAATTAACTGGATTTTGTGAATAAATTCGCTTCACTGCGATTGTCTTTCATTTATGAAGATGGTGTTTGCCCGTTTCAATAAAGTTATTTAAGACAGTTTTAAGGCTAAAAAGAATTTCATAATTTAGCTTGAGTAGAATTTATTTAGATATTGTACAACGTGTCTTCACTGGGGTGACTGGTGGAATAATATATTAGATTAATGTAATTCTAAAAGTCTACAGATTTCTTCCCACTTATTTAATAAAGAAAAACAGTGGAATTAGTTTACTCTGTTTACTTCATCATATAAAATAAACAAATTCCCCAATTCGTGGTAAAATAGAACTGATTAGGTATCAGATGAAAGAATTTCCAACTAAATCGACTAAGTACATATTTAATAATTGAAATGATCATTTGTCTATAGAGATATTCAATTAATATATTATACCAGATACTTGACTAATAATGAGTAGAAATCGATTTCCTTAAGCCACTAAATAACTTTTTTCTTTCCACCATTTCACTTCTCTCGTAAAGTTGCACGAAATATAGTTGACGAGTTAAAGTTAGAAAAGTTTGACGTTCTTTAAGAGAACTGCAGCTCTTCTTTTCTTTCATATATTTGATTCTCTTTCGAGATGATTTATCATCACATAAATCACGTGAAGTATAGAATGATCCCTATAAATTATTTATTCGTTTTCAGGATGATTATAATTATAATTCATAATTCCTCCATCCCCTCCACCCATGGCCTGATAGTAATTAAAAGAGTTGATTTGTTTTTGAGAGACAGTAGCTGACTGTTTATTTAGTTCTAATAATCAAGTTCCTTATACATATCAGCATGGGGTTGTAGATATTGTTGAGTTTCAATTGAGATCAATGACAGACCACCATAGAAAACCTGGGAGCACTGGACAGCAGTTTCGTCCTAGTATGGGACTTCTCAGCTGTCCACATTCACGATTCTGCACGCAGAAATCGAACCCAGGAACTTCGGTGTCGCGCAGACTCTTAACCTTTAGATCACTAAGCCGTGATCCAACAGTTTTAATGTCTAATTTCAATCAATCCACGATATCGCGCGACCATCTTCCTCATACATATATTACATAAAATTAATCATATATCTCAACAACTGTAACTAAGGCAACTAGGCGTAGGTCCAATTTTCTACCTTAACCAAACTTCTAACACTCGATTTTTCAAATGATATTTTTGACATGAGAAGATTTGGAGTCACTAAAATTAAATTCATAATGTCATCAGTCATTGATTCTTTGCTAAATTGAGTTTATGACTTAATACTCTGACAATAATACGAGAATGAGACATAGGATTTAATTAACACATTAGCTATGTTTCTAATGTATTAGCAAATCATAATTCAGACTCACTGAACTGATATTTTTTATTGTGGGGATAATACTTGTTGAACACTGAGGGAATCATACATTAGTTAATTAAATAATGGCACGAATATGGCCTATCACTCTACTTAGTAAAGTAACCGAATTAGACAATACTAACACTATAAAATTATGTATATTAGATTTGTGCCTCAATTCAAATGAGAAAAATATTGAATAGAGATGGAGTTATACTTAGTTGTTTTTTTTTCTTTATAAAAGTTAACACCATTTCTGATCCAGGTTAGTTATTATCCTCAGGAAAACAATTCCGGTTGATAATTACGTTTTTAAGGTTTCTTGTCGTTAGTCGAATAACAATTATCTTACTGATTTGTCCAGAATGAAATAGACTGAATAAAATTGAAGGCAGTTTCATGTTTCAGTATTTGCAATTTTTCTTATAATATTACTTTAACTAAAATGACAATTGAATTTTCGGTTAATAGTCTTGAATAATTCAATTCGTACCCAATAAATCACGTACTCAATTCATTACGACTTGACCAATCAGCTCATACATTTTTAGCTTATTCAACAGGCACTATGCATAACTGGTATCATATTGACGTGAATGTGTTAACTGCTCTGCGTTATATTTATATACTGCCTCTACCTAATATACATCTATGAATAGCTTTCATCATTTGTTTTTTCTCTCTTTAGTCAATCAATAAACTCAAATCAATGAATTCTGACGATGAGACACATTTGAGAATTGCTTCTGCTATGAATACAACTGCTTCTATTACTTCTAATCCACATCATAAACATCATTTCACTTCTAATAATTCTATGACTGATCCAGGTAATTCATCATCTAGATACTTAACTATGGCATCATCTATGCTATCTTCAAATTTAAAGCGTAAAGTTGATTCGTCAAATAATTTGGATTTTGATATTCATCGTTCAATGTCATCATCTTCATTGCCTAGTGTACAGGATCGTTTAGATTCTAACGTTTGTCCTGAAACTCTGCAATCATCCAGTAATCCAAGTCCTTTAGAAGGTGGACGCAGTCACAGTTCATCTACACCAACTGCTTCCGAAACAGATAGTCTCACAAGGGATCCTGTTGATGATCCAAGTGAAGAAATAAATCATTTAGAATTTCAAAATCCAAATCCTCGTATAAATATTGAAGGTGATACAAATGAGTCAAATGTATGGACAAAAACTTTGCCAACGTTAGATAAATCTTCAATGTTATGGGATCAACATCAGAATCCTGTCAGAAATCTTAGCGATTTAACTGCTAATTGTATGAGTAAACATCGTGACACATCGCTAATAGATACAACACCGCCTAATCAAACTGTTTATTCACATCAACCAAAAAAGCGGCGTACATTAAATAGTCATATATTTGCCGCCACAAACAGCAATATTAATAGTGGTAATAATAATAATAAATGTAACAAATAAACTGCTCACGCACACTTTTTTCCTCTATCATTAAAACAACTTTGTATCTTCCTCATTTATACACGCACATGCACTATTATGTGGCTGAATTTTTGTTATAACACATAGTGCGTAGAATTTCACAAAAGATGACCATTTATCATGACACTAACAAAATAATTTCGACTGAGATATTTCCTGCCACCCCTTCTAATTGATCACACGCACACAGATGCACTCAAATTTATACGTGTTTGACTGAAATTATTTGGTTTCTTTTTGATATCTCCTCATCGTGAAACAAAGCTGCCATATTTATTGTGTACGAAAAAAGCTACTCTTGATCCATTCATTTTCTGCTCGTGTGTGTGAAAGGAAGAAATATGAATTCGATGTAAAATTCTTAGAAAAGACTATCTCCATTTTTACTAATTGTTTCCTCCTTTTACATTGTGATTCTACCTTCGTGATGGTTTAAATAATGAAATAAAAGAGCGAGGAATAAGTTCTGACCTCACCTAACATTTTCTCTTCAATAAAAGAATAAATGTAAAGAATAAGTAAGCAGGATAATGAAAATGGTTGTACACATGGTTCTTCAACATTTTAATAACGTAAATTTGTGTGCAAAAATGCAGGCTGATCGCTTCTCAAATTCTTCAATGACATATTACTAACTGGTACCATTAACATTACAACTACTGCTACCAAGAATTAAAACCTTGTTTTCTGTTTGAATATTTTATTTACATACATTCTGCCAGTGTGCGTATGTGTATAGCTGATTTATCTTTTATTTCTAATATTCACCTTTGTGTTTTCCCCCTTTCTCGTCATTTCTTGTCCTTTATTATCTCAGATTCACATTCTTAACTATTGTAACTTGTTTATCTTCTGTACACACACACACACACGCTTTTTGATTTAAACTTACTTTAGGTGGTTATTAACTCTCCTAGTTATCATTTTTATTGTATTGTCATTATTTTCTCAAGGAAATGTTTTTTGTCCTAACAGACACAAGCTCAGATGGATTATATTGTTATATTAATACTATTATTATTATTATGCATTTCGTTGAAGTTTTTGAGTTCTTTTTTTATCCTCTTAGTGTTTGTACCCTTCTACTCTGCGCCACTTCAGTACATAAATTTTATTTTAAATTTCTATAGTTTTCTTCAAATTTCCTCACTATCAAATATTCCTGTTTTTTATACTTATTTTAATTGTTATTCAATAAGTAAGTAATTTAATATTATTTCATACTGTTATCATTACTAAGTGAACTGTACATCGCAATAGTCACTTATATTTGTGTATATATACATATATGTGTGTTATTTCTGTTTGTTAGATTATTATTATTATTATTATTTCATAACCTTTTTGGGATTACATTATGAGAATCACCTTTTTAGCATGTGTTTTCCTTTAGTCCCACTTCATATCCCTATTTCCGCGTAAACATAACTAGAGTTACTACTACTATTACTACTACATCGAGTACTACTATTGCAACTACTCAGAATTTCACAACACATGAATCTTTATTACCGCATCAGTTTTATTCTATAGTGGTTCAAATGTAAGTACTTGTTATTATCATCTCTCTCTTTGTATTCATTCCTGCAGTTTGTCTTACTGATTTTTCTGAATTCTACCGTCAACTTATCCTGTTGTTCTCTGGTCTACACACTTCTAGATTCTACTATTAAATAAATGTAACAGATATAATACGCCAATATATAACCATATTTGTTTCCTTTTAGAGGGCTCGGATTTCTTATTGTCTACCCGTTTTATTTATTAAAGATTGTGTGTGCGCCTACAAACAGTCGTTATTTATCATTATCATTAACACCAGTGTAGATGTTATTTTCAAATATTATTACTTATCAATTCAGACTTTTAGTTTGTGTATTCTTTTATTCACTGAGTAATATCAGAGGATTGACTGTTTTGTTTTTCCTTCTTGGTGGTATTAATGTTTGTATCCTGTTTCTTATTTTCATTTGTTTTATTCCTTGAACCAACACTCAACACTGCTGTCCTCTGTCTATTATTATCATTATTATCAATTATAGACATTTTTCAAATTGAACAAGAGGTGTACATGTATAAATATACATCATGTCCACTATTATCTAATTTTCTCTTTTGTTACTTCATTGAGCAAATATGAGTTCTCGTTTTTTGTGTGTTGTTCTGTTCCATTCACTCTTTTGTTCTGATTGGTTAACAATTGCTCTGTTTCACTTATTTCCTAGTAGTAGTAATATCGGTGGTAGTAGAGGTTGGAACCCTCACTACTCCTGTACTCCCACCATTGTGATTATTATTGTTGCCACCCACGAGTTTGTTAGCTATCAATAAGTTTCATTTTCGTTATTATTAACATAATTATTTCCTTGTTGTCATTTTGATATAAAATAACAAAAAGACCATTGGTGAATGGCATATCCTGTTTAGATTTTATTCAATGAATGTTTTAAATTAACTTGTCCTGTAACTATCACATATACACAACCGACTTATATACAATTTTCTGTCTGTTCCCACTTTTAAAAGTAGAATTCCTCCTTGGTTTATTTGTTTGTTTGATTCATTCGATTAATCGATGAGTCAATTGATTTATTGGTTTGTATACTAGACATTCATCATGATGATCTATCTATACAAACACCAGTTTGTAAAATTCTTCTTGTGTGTTACTTGTTTTATTTGTTTTTTTTTTGAGGGGTCCACTCCGTTTTTTTTGTTCTTTTGAGATTTGATTTAGTAAATTTACCTAATATCCTCGTTCTGTAAATGACTTTTTTAATTATATTCGAAGGTTAGATTAAGAGATGTTACTGAATATTAATTAGTGATATTAGATGTAGAGTTAAGAACCAACATGGTAATCCACAATCATTCCCTACTGTATGCATATCTCTAATAAGGTTATTTGGACATTTGGTTTACATGTCGTTATATGGCGGTCGAAAATCCAGTTTAAATACGGATTACATACCGTATCAATATTTTTTTTGTACAATTACGCCAAAAAGTTAGCTTACAAAACTCTTTAATATATTTTATTACTCAGAGAAACATGTAAGCAAAAAAATTTTTCTGAGTAATTTATATACACAAACAACTACAATCAAGTGTGCCTATCGTCTACAAACTTACATTTTACTTCAATTATCTTGACAGAAAAGTGAATTGGGATTCCTGAATCCTAAAAGTGAGTTGTGTTGACACTTCTTGATTTGAGACAAAGACTTCCTAAACTGTACCCATAAAACGCCCAAATAAGTCTCAATTTTTATTTCCCTTTAAATATCAATCAATTTTGAGTTCACAAGTTAATACCTTAAGTTCCTGGTAATTTGACAAAACAGCATTTTCGTCGTAGGTTAGAACTCTACCTCCTAATTAATTACTTCGTAACATTCATTTTCATCTTTAATTATCCAAATATATTGACTGACAGATAACTCGTAGCCATAATTATTTAGTTGAAATACTTATTACATAAACACTACCTTTAATTCCCTGATACTGACATAATTATTCAACCAGTTAGTGGCCCTTTGTCTTATAGTTTGTCTTGTTAAGATTTGAGCATCGGTAGTACAAGATTTCATCCAGTCAGTTAAGTCGTAATAATCATACAATGTTAGGAGAGCGGAGAAGCACTGGCTGTTTACTAGTTTTATGTACATCATTGATTGTTTGCAGTTTGATAAACGGTTCTTACTATTGGAAAATCGTGTATATTGTGCCACGATACAAATATGAACATAAAACCGAAGTAAACAAATATCGGCTCATAAATATTACTTCAGTTATTTCTAGGTGTTGTAGATGAGAACAATAGGAAAACTTATTAGTGATAAAGCTTCCAACTGTATACTGAAGGGAAAGCTCATCGCCAATTCCCAACTTAAAACTGGATCTTGTTACCTGGCACTTTGACTTCTTTAATTTGGTTTTTACTCAACGCAGCTGAGGACAACTAGTTTCAGTTCTGTACTTTGACATTTTTCTAAGCTATCGACATGGTTAACCACCAGCTTCATATATATGGGATAAGAAACCCTTGCTTGCTTGGTTTAATGCTTTCCTCAGTGACCGACACCAAACAGTCAGAATAAACTTCTTAAACTAAATTTAATCTTTCTCAAGATACTTAATAAACTGTCTTTTATATTCACAAATGCAATTAAATATGCAGAAACGTCTAGTTGTAACATCCATAACGCCTTATCTTTGGTAGAGAGATCTTATCCTAAATCTCTATATTGGTTACTTGATCAGTAAATTTCGAGATTGGGATGACTTGCCGTAATCTGTCTGCGAAATAAAATCACTCGCATCCTTTGTAGTATCGATGTTTACTTCAATGAGAATCCCTTAAATGTACTTACACCTTTTAGTATATCGTATTCCACAATATTTAATTATTATTACTGAGTATATCTGTTAAACTTTCTTTCCTGCAGATATTTTACACATACACTGTCCCTGGTAAGCTTAACTAATTTAAATAATGTCTGACCCGAACAATATATTATAAAACAAATTGAGACATATGATAATGGTAAACCCATCATATTACATGATGCTATTGCTGTTCTATGCTTTCTACTTCCGATTTATCTTTTCTAGTTGTGGATGGTTGTAATTATTCTAATAAGGCACTGGAAATAACCTTATATACAATTTTCATACATCGAAAGGACATCCTTTGTTAAGGAATTGATGTTTCTCGACTAATGCTCCACATGTTATAATTCATATGAAAAATGCGTTACCCAAACAATTTTTGAACTGTGGCACCTCAAACAATATGAAACCATATATCAGTCCTTTACATTTTACGTTGATATCTTTATCAAATTGATCATGCATGTAGTCAGTCAATCAGTTACAACGTAGGAACAGACACATATGCATCGGTTCAAGTTGACAAACCTCATTAGCACAAGATGAACACCGAATTCATAGAAGTAGTTAATTCAATGGTGGTAATGTATAGAAGAAAGATTGTATATAAGAATATGGTACATGAGGAAAGAATTAGTCTGAAGGAAGAAATAAAGCAATTTTAATCTCATAGTCCAATGGAAGACTGATCATGCCTGTAAACCAGTATGAATTCTGTAATTAATTCCAGAACATATATATAGTCATGCTATCTGCATTGAATACTTTTTACATAAATGATATGGTTAATTAGTTGACGACAAATAGTGTATTCTGATAGATACTTAATTTAGATTCTTTCCAATCAGGTACTCATTACCAATATCCTCACTTTTTAATTGTAACTTCACAAAAAACCTTCACAATGAACTTTTTGAAACATATGATAGATTACCGTAAAAAGTTAAGAAATCTTAGTTCTAATTTGAATAAATTTTGAGACTAATGGCATGTATGAATGTTTACCAGTAATATTAAACTGTAGGGGCTTAGCTTCGTTTATCAATTCAGAAGGCGATGAGAAGCGGAGACTAAAGTTTACTAGCGGATAGCATAGATAACAACGTTACAAGCATATAGAGAAAATTGGAACAGAGATGCGAAAGTGTGTGGATGAACGATTATACAGTTAAATTTATAGTCAAATGGAATCAAGGTGCAAAGAGGCAAGGCAAAAGCTATTAGTCGAGCGATATTTAAACTATCAACATTTAAGATAGAGTGAGTAATATATGCGTAGGCTGTCACATGTGATCAAGTACACATGTTTATACAGACAAGATAGTGATCATCATAAGACGAAAGAAGTAGACAAATTTGTTACTGTTCGAATAACACTGTCTGTTAGATAAGTTAATAATAGGACTCGACAAAATTAATCATAAACGAATTTAATCGTAGGAGTGTTGCTATAATATAAACAAATATCTCTATCAGAAGTACTTCATGATACTACAATCAATTCGGCCATAAAATCACTTCACATAAAGTAAACATTAAATAAGTGAATTTGGTTAAATACAATTGCTATCTACCGCTCAATGATATATGTTACTACTTTTATTTTGCTAAACATGAAAGAGGTATATATATAAACATATGTGGTTTTTCTAGATGATTTTGTGTATATCTGAAGAAATGAATTGGTAATAGCATTTTATGTAAGTAGAAACTCTGTTACCTTATCAAACAGTTTCAAGATTTTTTGACTTTGAAATAAGTCTATAAAGTGTATTCATCATTTTCTAAAGAATATGCTAACTAAGAGTGAATTTGAAGAAGTAGAGTTTGAACTAATGACCTGATCGTTAAAAAAAGAATTCTAAACCACCACAGTGCCTTGGGATTAGTATATATGTACCCTACAGGAATGTAATATATTTTTTCTTAGCTTTGAAGGGGAGCTAGACATTGTTAAAACCTACTGAAAAGAATCTCTGGGATATGCATGATAACTGTTTCATCTTGGTATGGAACTTCACAAAATGTACACCATAGTTCGTAGCAGTGATTAACCTCAAGAATTTCACATTTCGAGGCTAGTGCTTTATCATTTGATCAAAATGTTAGCGTCCAGCGTCAACAGCTTTGATCAATTAATCAAATAAAGTATTCCTAATACAATTGGTGACTACTATTTCACTCCCAACATGTTTTAGATCCCCCAGTCACAATTTATTATCAAAACACACCTTGCGGTAAACCATTAGTGAGTACAAAAACATAGTTTTGTTTAAAATTTCATATGGAGATTAATTTGATTTTTAGTCACTACTTAAAATGAGTTGATATCAGTAACAGTACCATTGAGTTACAATTTATTTATCGATTTGACATACTTTTTAACTGTAAATATAATTCCCGACTATTTGTAAAGACCGATGGAAAGCTGATACGTCAATAAATCAAACTTTACTTTTAAACCTACTGAACACCGATAAAGTAAACAGTTAACTCATTGAATGCATATAATATTAGCAAAATCAAAACTATTGTTTTATGCACAATAAGGTTTGGCATTAAACATGATTTTAAAATATATATTATTAAAAAACACAACTAGTAATTGAACATCCTAATAATTATAGTAACTTCAAAGATCAATGTATTTGAGAATTAAATTTATGAAGTGAGTGTGTGAGTATTGTATTAGATCACTGGATGAAATGAAAGAATAATTCAATAACTGTGATAAGTTTTGCACAGTTTATCTAGTTATATGTTATTAAGAAATGTCGGTCTATAACAGAATAATGACTTCAATATTCATCTTACTAAAAACATTGAACCATCCTCTTCATAACTTGCTTGATCTTTGACATTATAACAAATAATATAACATTTACACTAGAGTGTACACAGACTAATCACTGAGTGGCAAACAATTCAATTTTGTCTAGCTCTTCGTGCTGATCGATCATGAAGCACTGTCATCACTGATCTAAGTGAATCAACACTACGTGCACTAAGTTCTTATGTTAGTTGATTGAAGGTGATAGACAGAAATCATTAATATAATGAAAATTCCCATTTTGACATTCGGTAAATAAAGAAGGAACGAATCGAGCCAAGAAATGTCTTTTCAATTAGTTTTTTATCATGGCTGTACACTAATATATATATATATATATATATATATATATATATATATATATATATATATATATATATATATATATATATATATATATATATATATATATATATATGATTTACAATGATGAAATAATACGTAATAATTACATAATGAGATATCGACTATAAATTAACATTGAGTAATTGAAAGAAAGAGGATTAATAATAACCAAAGTAATTATTCGAAAATCAAGAAGT